TCTTATGCAGAATTATATAAGGGAGAGGATGGCAACAAAGGGAAAGAGACAAAAGAATATTTATTTTAAACATAGATGCTTGACTTGAAAATTCATTAAAAAATATAAATCAACTCCATCGTGGTGTGTGTGGCCCAACCCCTGCTCTTCACAGGAAGGTGCCTCTGCTGCCCGATGCGCGTTCGATATCCCTTGTATTCTTTTTCTACTTTTCCTCCGCCGAAAGTCCATCTTCTTTACGGTGTAAGAAAATGATCCATAAGAAAATCCAGGAAACTTACCAGTACGAGTTCTTGACCTAAAGAAACCGGAAAAAATTCGAAGTCTTTGGAATGAAAAGAAAGAAAAGGGCTTTGGAAGGTGCTTACTAAGATACCAGAAGATCAAATATTGGGCTTGGCTAGATCTTGTGCCTCTTTAGTCAACACTTACCAGTTGGTTTGTTTCGTCTAGATTCGCGAAATACTCGTAGAAATTTGGTGTTTTCTTGATCTTACCTTTTGTTTCAAGTTTGACCACAGGAGCAGGCCTTGAACAAAATAGCGTGGAAAGCAATTCCTGAACCAAGCGAGCTAGTTGAGGCTAGTAGGGATCGGTACTACTTTATCGCTATAGGGATTTTCATGGCTTCCATCATCGTGCAAGGAATAACCTCATCTTCATCTTCTTCTCCTCCACAATATATGTATGATGTGTTCCTTAGTTTTAGAGGCAAAGACACCCGGAACAACTTTACTAGTCATCTATATTCTAATCTGAAACAGAAAGGCATCGATGTATATATGGATGATAGAGAGCTCGAGAGAGGAAAGACCATCGAAGATGCTCTCTGGAAGGCCATCGAAGAATCAAGGTTTTCAGTCATTGTATTTTCACGAGATTACGCTTCTTCACCATGGTGCTTGGATGAACTTGTCAAGATTGTTCAGTGCATGAAAGAGACGGGGCACACTGTTCTGCCAGTTTTTTATGATGTGGATCCCTCAGAGGTAGCCGAGCAGAAAGGGCAATATGAGAAAGCCTTCGTTGAGCATGAACAAAATTTCAAGGAAAACTTGGAGAAGGTCCGGAACTGGAAAGATTGTCTCTCTACGGTGGCCAATTTATCTGGTTGGGACGTGCGGAATAGGTAAATCATCAATCTACTTATTCTTATTCTCAAATCCACCCTCCACCCTGTAGTGTTTCAATGATGAACATAGTTTTTTTTTTTTTTAATGTTTTTCAAGTGAAAGGTGTGATTAAATATCAAAATAATCACAATAAAACAAGAGTATCAAAACTAATTCTTGAATAAATAATTGTTAGTATATATTTTTAATCCACTAAATAGCTATTTAACGACCCTTTTGGCTATGATCAAACTAATTTTTTCTTTAATTTTGACTTTTAAAATAAAAGAGGAGCACACGTTTCAAAATTTCAATTGTTACAGTTTTTAGGAAATAAAAATTGAATACAAATTAAAAAAAATTCGTTCACTTTTTCCTAATTTTTCATTTATTTACCAAAGAAAATCGTTTTTTATTTCCGTTTTGAATGTTTTGTTCACACTAGAAAAATTATTTTTCAATTTATTATATTTTTTCTAGCAAATGCTTTAGTGTTCTTTGAGTTTTGTTAATCAAAAGATGGTAAATAATATTCAATGAATGAAAAATTTGTGGATTTGTTGATGAAACACTTGGTAGTAAATGAATATTTTTTTCATATGCATGATTTTTTTAATTTAATTTTTATGAAATATTGATCTTACGTGAACAAGCATTCTAATTTTACATAAAATTTCTTTCTTTTCTTAGGTTTTTCTTTATATTTTGAAAAAAAAAAAAATATTAGATAGAAAAATGAAAATGTCAAAAAAAAAGTTGAAAAACAAATCTAGCATGAACAAATAAAAAGTTCGCTTAAAAAAATAAAAATTGTGAAGAAATGAAAACATATTCATCATAAGAAATAAAACATTGATTAAAGTTTTTGATATGTTGGTTTTAGCTTTTCAAAATAAAATACAAATATTTTCCATCATGACTTAAAAAAATCCAACTATTTATAAATAAAAGAGAACTTTATTTATAATTTTTTTATCTTTTGTGAAAATTTTTATTTTTATTTTTTTCTTTTTAATGTTTTGCACTATCTTTCTCAAAGGTTGGTGTATTAATTTCCAGCTAACAGCCATACATTTTCGAGCTAATGTTTATCTTCCCTTATCACAATCTGATTTGATTTCTGCAGACTGCATGATTAATGTTTTGCACCCTCCTATGCAGGAATGAATCGGAATCAATTAAAATAATTGCTGAATACATATCGTACAAACTAAGCGTCACTCTGCCAACAATTAGCAAAAAATTAGTTGGAATAGATTCTCGTGTAGAGGTATTAAATGGCTATATAGGGGAAGAAGTAGGCAAAGCAATCTTCATTGGGATTTGTGGAATGGGTGGCATAGGTAAGACGACTGTTGCACGGGTACTATATGATAGGATTCGTTGGCAATTTGAAGGCAGCTGCTTCTTAGCAAATGTCAGAGAAGTTTTTGCTGAGAAATATGGACCACGCCGTTTACAGGAACAACTTCTTTCTGAAATCTTAATGGAACGTGCTTCTGTATGTGATTCTTCTAGAGGGATTGAGATGATAAAGCGGAGGTTACGACTTAAAAAGATTCTTCTTATCCTTGATGATGTAGATGACAAAGAACAACTAGAATTCTTGGTTCATAAAGTTTATTTTAATTTACGCTCCATCTCTATGAATCTCTACTTTGTATTTGTTTTTCACATGTATTCCCTTTCGGTTGACAGGAAAAAGAAAAAATAGAAGCCATTTTCTTGGACATGCCTAGAATAAAGGAGGCACAATGGAACATGAAAGCCTTCTCTAAAATGAGCAGACTAAGACTGCTCAAAATCAACAACTTGCAGCTTTCTGAAGGACCTGATGATCTTTCCAACGAGTTACGATTTCTTGAATGGCATTCTTACCCTTCAAAATCATTGTCAGCTGGTTTACAGGTGGATGAGCTGGTTGAACTTCACATGGCTCACAGTAGCATTGAGCAATTATGGTATGGGTATAAGGTGAGATCAACTAATTTCTTTTTATCGTTTTCCTTTATATGTATGATAGTAGCATCCATATTTCTTCTTCCCTACCTGATTGCAGAGTGCAGTTAATTTGAAAATCATCAATCTCAGCAACTCACTAAACCTGATCAAGACTCCAGATTTTACAGGAATTCCGAATCTCGAGAACCTAATTCTTGAAGGTTGTACAAGTTTGTCTGAAGTCCATCCATCACTTGCAAGTCACAAGAATATTCAATATGTGAATCTTGTGAATTGCAAAAGTGTTAGGATTCTCCCAAGCAACCTCGAAATGGAATCGCTTAAAGTTTTCACTCTTGATGGCTGCTCAAAACTTGAGAAGTTTCCAGATATAGTAGGAAACATGAACAAATTGATGGTGCTTCGTTTGGATGAGACTGGTATTACAAAACTATCTTCATCGATTCATCATTTGATTGGCTTAGGTCTATTGAGCATGAACAACTGCAAGAACCTTGAAAGCATTCCGAGTAGCATAGGTTGCTTGAAATCCCTTAAAAAACTTGATCTGTCTTGCTGTTCTGCACTTAAAAATATACCAGAGAATTTGGGAAAAGTTGAAAGTTTGGAGGAGTTTGATGTAAGTGGAACTTCAATAAGACAACCGCCAGCATCCATTTTTCTTTTAAAGAGTCTTAAAGTATTGTCTTTTGATGGATGCAAAAGAATAGCTGTGAATCCCACGGATCAAAGGTTGCCTTCTTTGTCGGGTCTGTGTTCTTTAGAAGTACTGGATTTATGCGCTTGCAATCTAAGAGAAGGGTCTCTTCCTGAAGATATTGGCTTCTTATCTTCTTTGAGGTCTTTAGATCTGAGCCATAATAACTTTGTTAGCCTGCCTCAGAGCAATTGGCGAAATATCAACCCATGAAGATGGTTTTTCATGGTACAGGGTTTGTCTAATCCAAGACCTGGATTTGGTATCGCTGTTCCAGAAAATGAAATTCCAGACTGGTTTAACCATCATAAGTAAGGGATCTTCAATTAGTGTGCAAGTGCCTGGTTGGAGCATGGGGTTTGTTGCGTGTGTTGCATTCAGTCCAAATGTTGAAAGTCCTTCTCTTTCTTGTCATTTCAAAGCCAATGGAAGAGAGAATTATCCTTTGCCGATGTGTATTAGTTGTAACTCTATCCAAGTTCTGTCAGATCATATTTGGCTATTCTATCTACATATCTTTTGATTACCTTAAAGAGCTTAAAGAATGGAAGCATGAATCCTTTAGCAACATTGACTTGTCATTTCATTCTTACCAGCCAGGAGTAAAGGTGAAGAATTGTGGTGTCTGTTTGTTATATTCTCCATCATCTCAATCTTCTGCCCATTTTATTGTTGCAAGCAAAGAAGCATCTTCTTCATATAAAGCTTCTTTATCGGTTTCTCCATCTTACCGTCAATGGATGCAAGATGTTTTCCTTAGCTTCAGAGGCACAGACGCTACACATGATTTCATCCATTTAAAGACAGCTCTAGCTCTGAGAGTCATTGTCCCAGACGACAAGGAACTAAGGAAAGTAATGGCAATTAGATCCAGACTCTTTCAGGCCATTGAAGAATCAGGGCTGTCAATTATTATATTTGCAAGAGATTGTGCTTCTTTACCTTGGTGCTTTGACAAACTTGTCAAGATTGTCGGATTCATTGATGAAATGAGATCGGACACTGTGTTTCCAGTTTCTTATCATGAACAATCAAAGACAGATGATCAAACAGAGAGTTACACAATTGTCTTTGATAAGAATCAAGAAAATTCCAGGGAAAACGAGGAGAAGGTACAAAGATGGTTGGATATTCTCAGTGAAGGTGGGATTCCATCTGGATCGAGATCAGTGGAAAGGTATCATTACTTTTATTTTATACCTCGACTTATCAACCACTTCAAGTAAATGAAACTGGGAATACTGAAAGATAAGAACTTAATGTCAACAAAGTTGGCAAAATATGTTCTCGTGTTTGAAAAGATAAAAAAAAAAAATCAGTATTAGATCTATGCTCTTTATAACATTCATTCCATGTATAGGTTTACCATGCAGGGATGGGGACAGGAGTGTCCAGGTCTCAGGTACTTTTTCCAGCTTTCAGCTTTCATGTATAGCTTTGCTTGTGTATCGTTTAAAACACAAGATAAAATCATCTTATTGTTAAAATTGAATTGCTGAATAGACTAAGCTCACTCTAGTCATACAAAGCAATGGTTAATGTACTTGATACAAAGAATAGGAAGCAAACAAACTGAACTATGAAGTACAAAATTCCAAAGTTAGCACAAAAATAAAGAAAAACAAAATAGGGATGTATCCCAGTTCAATTGGTTGTGTTACTAGAAATAGTGCTACCAATTAAAATTTAATAAGTTGTGCTCCTTCTATTGGTAGAGTAACATAATCTATTGATTTTTTAAATTTTTTTCACGCATGCTAGTTTGCCAAGAAAAGAAATGTTGTCACGTGTGCTATTTAATGAATAACTCTAAGAATAATGATCAACTTACGGGGGAAAAAAACAAAAAAAATGATTAGTGTATGTAATTTTCTAGTAATTGCACCTTAAAGTCTAGCATTATCTAGGTTTCTTCTTCTTTTTCGTTTTCTTATAAGCGTCTATCGTAGGTTTGGCGCATAACATTAAAAAAAGTTAGCACAACTACTTTTTGTAATGTTATGTACTGTAGACTGCATGACTCTTTCACAATAACGCACTCACATTTCTCATCACTTTGCAGAACGTGTTTAGGCTGTTGAAACTTTACATCATAATCACTTGCCCTTTTATCTTAAGCTGATTTAATACATTTGGCCAAATCTAATTATCTTCGATCCCCACTGAAACCCTTACATGACTCCATTTCCAACTGTGTGCATTATTTGTCCACAAATAGTAAACTTTAATTTCTAATGGTCATTATTGTGAGTGTCCTGAAGTTGATGTGAAGGACTTATTCAAACATGATACTAGAGGAAATTAGTTCTTTACTTGAAGGCTGGTTGGAGTATATCCTTATCATTAGATTGTTTTTTTTTTTAAATAGTGAAGAAAGATTAGCTCTGCTACTGCGTCACTAGCTAAAGAAAGTGCATATTATTTGGGATTTGCTCCTCTCAAATCACTACTTAATATAATTCATCATGTTGGAACCATTCTAGGTTTTGAATTCATATTAATGTCTGGTGGACCCCCACGATTATTGTTTTGATGTTGATGAAAAGGTTTGGCCATTGAAATTAGGTTTGCCCCGACTGATGTGGAGCTTGTGCTTTACTACTTGAAGAGGAAGATATGTGAGAAACGTTTTGAGCTTGATATTATTCGCGATGTTGATGTTTACAAGTGGGATCCTGAGGAGTTACCTGAGCTATCCACATTGGAGAGCGACTGGCAATGGTACTTCTTCAGTCCAAGGGATAGGAGATATCACACTGGAGCAAGGTCAAATAGGGAAACCCGACAGGGGTGGTGGAAAGCTACAGGGAGAGATCGCAGTATTGTGTACAATTCTCGTAATATTGGAATTAAAAAGACCTTGGTTTTCTATAGAGGTTGTGCACCAAGAGGAGAGCGAACTGATTGGAAGATGCAGGAGTATACTTTGAATGAAGAAGAACTCAGGGGAGAGGCAAATGTGCAGGATTTTTATGCCCTTTACAAGCTTTGCAAAAAAGGTGAATAATGGATTTCATGGAAATTGATCTCGGTCTACAGCCTAATTTCTCCGAGACGGTGTGACGTAGGACACAAATCCCAGCTAAATTATTTTAATTGTAATAGTTATTTAATTGTTAATTTTCTTTAGGATTTTTTAGTATTATTTAAATAGGCATGTGGTTTCCTAGGAAATTAGTAATAATTCTAGAGTTTTTTTTTTTCATATTCGGTTTTTTTTGGACTTTCCAAAATCACCAATCACCCTACTGCTAACTTGTATCACTTTGCCAAAGACATGCTCGTTTTGGTCACCCATCTTTAAAACTTGTCAATTGAATAATGTCTCGGCGTCATCTGCTAGTCACAACCGAGGTCTCTCCTGCTGTTTATCATGCATACTAACATGGTAAGAGTCATTGTCTTCTGTTATGAATTGTTCAATGGTAGTGAGGGTATCAGATAAGTCTGACATAAATAATGAATGAGAGAGGTTTTTCATTAGAGGTAGTTGTCTTTGGTAAGTTAAATTTTAGAAAGAGGAGGGGGTAGAGGATTGTGGACGGGAGCAGAGTTTGTAGAATTAAAGGAAGATATGGGAAGAAGATAAGACCAGTTTTGCTCTAACACCATAAAAGAGTTTCAACATTTCTGGAAATTGCTTTGATGTCTTTTGGATGCATGAAGTATTATTAGTTATAGATTAGTTTGTGACATCTATGATCTGCACATGGAATACATTTTGAAATCTTAATGAAACAAGCTAATATATGTGATTCTTCTAGAGGTATTGAAATGATAAAGCGGAAGTTACAGCGTAAAAAGATTCCTGTTGTTCTCGATGATGTAGATGACCGTAAACAACTAGAATCCCTGGCTGCGGAGAGTAAATGGTTTGGTCCAGGGAGCAGAATTATCATAACAAGCAGAGATAGACAAGTGTTGACTAGAAATGGTGTTGCTAGAATTTATGAGGCTGAGAAATTGAATGATGATGATGCTCTTATGTTGTTTAGCCAGAAAGCTTTCAAAAATGACCAACCTGCTGAAGATTTCGTGGAACTATCCAAGCAAGTTGTGAGTTATGCTAATGGCCTTCCACTGGCTCTAGAAGTTATAGGTTTGTTTATGCATGGAAGAAGTATCCTTGAATGGGGAAGTGCGATTAATAGACTAAATGATATTCCTGACCGTGAAATTATTGATGTGCTTCGTATTAGTTTTGATGGCCTCCATGAATTAGAGAAGAAATTATTTTTAGACATTGCCTGTTTCCTGAAGGGGTTTAAGAAAGATGGAATAATAAGGATACTTGACAACTGTGGATTCCATGCACATATGGGAACACAAGTTCTTATTGAGAAATCTCTCACAAGTGTTTCTCGGGATCAAGTCTGGATGCATAATTTATTACAGATAATGGGTAAGGAAATTGTTCGTTGTGAATCCCCTGAAGAGCCTGGAAGGCGCAGTAGATTGTGGACATACGAGGATGTCTGCCTTGCACTGATGGACAACACAGTGAGTAGCTGATAGAGAACATTATCCATAAGATTTCGTAAAGTTTATTTTAATTTACGCTACAAATATCTATTTGTTTTTTACTTGTATTCCCTTTTGGTTGACAGGGAAAAGAAAAAATAGAAGCCATATTCTTGGACATGCCTGGAATAAAAGAGGCGCAATGGAACATGAAAGCCTTCTCTAAAATGAGCAA